GGTTAGTACACTGTGCCGTGTGTGACCCAGTGGGTTAGTACACTGTGCCGTGTGTGACCCAGTGGGTTAGTACACTGTGCCTGTGATGTAAAGTCTGCTGGTCCAGATCCCAGGCTTGACAGGCTAATTCCACCGCTGGGCCCCTGAACGAGACCCATGACCCCTCAGTGCTCCAGGGTTTGTCTGCTTAGCTTAGTCTCCAAAATAAGTACATTTGTTTGGTTCAAAGCATCTGCTACATTGTAACTGTCGGCCACTGCTGTCTGTCTTTATCTACACTTTCGTCTATGGCATATCAGTATCTGTAGAGAGCTGGTGTGTCACTCTCCCCTGCAGCCAGCAACTGCCACAGACGTAGCAGGGCACAGACCCTGGTCAGCAGGCCCCTGATTGGAGGAGCGAGCTGCAGCGTGCCCGCCAGACCCTGGTCAGCAGGCCCCTGATGGGAGGAGCGAGCTGCTGCATGCCCGCCAGGCGGAGTACCACACAGAAATGTTCAAACACTCAGACAGACACATGCACACACCTCACTTCTGTCACTTTGAACAAAAGTCCAAAATGAATGGAAAAAATGTAAAACACCCACTGAGGCAAACCCCCCCATGACAATTCTATGGCAAGCTTGTTGTTACTGTGCCTGGAGCAGCTGGAGATCTGTCTATTCTGCTGAAATACTGTATTTTAGTCACTGTCCTGTTTCATTTCTGCTACTGTAAGCGATTGTATGTCAGTGACTGACGAAGGTGGTGGATTCTTTTTTTTTATTTATTTATTTGTGATTATTGGTCATTGTTGACACACCACAGCACACAACAATGAAATGTGTCCTCTGCATTTAACCCATATGTGACTTTTGTGACATAGCAGGGGGCAGCTAATTCAGCACCTGGGGAGCAGTGCTTGGGGGCGGTACCTTGCTCAGGGCACCTCAGTGGTGCCTTGCTGGTCAGGGATTTGAACCTGCAATCTTCCGACTACGAGTGCGCTTCCCTAACCATTAAGCCACCACTACCACCTTATGGACCAGCTGACAGCTTTGGTCAGTGACTGACGAAGGTGGTGGATTCTTTGCCACATGCTTTGAAGCACCATTACCGTCAGAATATTTAGTTTGCTAGAACTCAGCGAAGCTCAACTAAATTTTAATTTCTGTGTGACATGTTTGGAGGATCCAGGGCATTTTGTTGAATATTTAAAGAGTGCAGAAGGAAGGGACTGACGAGGGCTTTAATAATCACATACTTTCAAGATGTCTGTTTCAGTCAACACAGCAGCTCTGAAGGTCCATAAGCCTGCATCCTTCCTCTTTGTCTTCACTTCCTGAAACACTGACTGTACCTTTTTAAACAATCCCCCCCCCAACCGCCCCCAGCACCGCAATCTGCTTCCAGTGGTTGACTGAAATATCAGCAAGTGATTACTTGTTCCCAGTACATGTGTGTGTATGTCTGTGTATGTCTGCGTGTGTCAGTGTATGTATCTGTGTATGTGTGTCTGCCTGTGTCTGTGCAGTGCATGTATGTGTGCGCGTGTATGTGTGTCTGTGGCTGCGTGCATGTGTCTGCGTGTGTCTGTGTATGTCTGTGGCTGCATGTACCTGTGTATGTGTGTCTGCGTGTGTCTGTAAGTTCTGCAGTCTCAGTACGCCCTCAAAGTTTCTCCACCTCCAACCACAGCTAATGCTGACAATGTACTAAATCTGCCGCCAAATGCCTTTAGCCAAAGGTTACCCACAATGCACCAGGGACACACAGACTGCTGAAGTGACAATAGACTTCGTGTGAAAAATGGGATGAGGTCAGATTTTGGTGATCAGAATGGGAAGGGCAAGCTGGCCCAACTCCTTTGTTTTTTCCTGTTCCCAGTCTTGATCTCCCCCCACTCCCCAGGACACCCAGCCCCCTCTCCTGTCAGCTGACGGCAGCAAAACCTCTTCATTAGCCAGCAGCTAATATCTGTGTGTCAGTCTTTGGCACTGGCCAGTCCCAAGGTTTCCCAGTTTTGTTTGTCAATTTACACATATAGAAACGGACACATATATCTATATACATAATGTACATACCTTTACATTATACATACACTGTCATTTATATATAAATACTAAACACGCTTGTGTCCTGTTTCATTTACCCTTTTCTTTGAAAAATACGGTACATCTGATCTCCAAGAGAAGAAATAAACAAAACCAGGGACTTGAAAAGCATCCAATTTTTTGGTGACCGTTGCTCCAGGCCCATCACAAGTGGGTGCTGTCCCGTGAGCCGAACCGGGGTCCCTCTGGTCGGGCCGCTCCACCGGCGCCGCGGCTCGGCACTGCTGCCAGGGGGTCCGGTCGCACCAGGTACCTGTGGGACGATACGGCCAGCAAGCTGAGAAGGGGTTTAGTGGCTCGGGGAGGGAGGACGAATCCTGGCTGGATGGGGGGTGTGACGCCTCTCTTCCATGTCAACAGAAAGGAAGAGTAACATAACTTTCCATAATATACTTTGTATATTAGTTGTGTATCAGTGTCTGCCTAAAATAATCACAGTTACAGTGATTAAAGTGCACAGCCTGCTTAGAGTAATCACAGTTACAGTGATTACAGTGCACAACCTGCTCTCTCACTCCACGTCCATAATGACATCAAAGACCTTCTTCTCCCAGTCTGCTTGTGGGTTATTAGCACCTGCTAGCTTTCCTTGTTTCTTTGTACTTCCAGTGGAATTCCGGGTTCTGTTTGACATGCCTGGTTGCGTTTTCCCTCCACATTGAAATGGCCCATTTCATTTCTGCCCTCCTCGCCCAGCTTATCTTGTTTTTCTTGTCTTTCTTGTTTTTTATTGTTTTCTGAACACACCTTGCACCGCTTCGTAAGTTTCCAGCCATATTTTCAACCTTTTTTGTTGCATTGTGGAGTAAAATACCCTGAGAGTTTCCTCACCCAGTGATTCTGATACCAAAATAAAACGTCACGCCCTGAAGTCATTAATGGCAGGGAGGTTCATTCGGTCACCGGCTGCCGGTCGCATCTTATCAAGCTGCACGGAACCCAAAACAAAAGCAGCACCTGCATTCAAAAAAGTGGGAAGCAAGTCCCGTCCATTCAGGTTCAGTCCTCTTAAGTGCTTAGGAATTTTTTGCATGTGTAACACGCATGATTATCTCTTGCGGTGTTTATATATAAACATTTGGCCAGCCAGGGGGTGGGGGCAAACCTGCAAACAAACAGATTGACAGATGTCTCCCCCAGCAGCTCAGCCCTTAACCTGGGTGTCATTTTAGATACAAGCCTCTCGTTCAAATGGCATGTGGATGCAGAATCGAAGGTGCGTTTCCTGCAGATACGTAACTCTGTCAGACTATGACAATTCCTCACTACCCTGAGAAATTGATACATGCCTTTGTATACAGTAGGATAGACTGCTGTAACGCTCTGTTATCTGAGAGCACACACTGCACATTAAACACCTTGCAGTGAATTCAAAATGCAGCAGCTTGAATTGTCAGCAGGAGCAGGATGTTTGTACACATAACCCCTGCTCTTAATTCCCTGCACTGGCTTCCAGTTAGGTTCAGGACTGACTTCAAAGATCTCCTACTTATAAATAAGGCACTTAAAGGTCTATCACCTGTCTAATCAATTTAGTTAATTGATCAACTAATGCATATTTACAAGCCGCATCATCCACTCAGATCACAGAACACAGGTTTCCTTGTCGTCCCACATAGAAATAAAGTGAGAGTGGGCGGTAAAGCATTCTGCTACAGGGCCCCTATACTGTGGAACGGTTTGTCAGTCTATGTTCAGGATTCCAAAGTCTTTAAATCTCGACTGAAGACCTATTATTTCAGTTTAACTTACCCGCAACTTAACACGTAACACACTGTAACTATGGCTGCTGGTGCTGCTGTACATGCCATTGTTTATCCACTATGCTTGTCCATTAATGTGTCCATGCATGTTCTGACCATCCATGCCCTCTGTCTTCCTTCCCACAGAGTGGGCACCATCTGAGCTGGAGTCCTGGTTCAGTCCCATGGAGGGTGACACCGTGGATGTGACTCACGAACTGTAACATCGTGAGTGAAGCCTTCAATCTGCACCCTGCCCAGGCAAGTGTGGAGAACTAACTCATTGATGGACTTTGGCTTGACCTAATTACAGCTTACCCCAGCTAGTACCAATGCTGGGGGGGGGGACCTTGGACCAGC